AGAAGACCAGGTTCGGATGGACAATGATGTCTCCGGGTAAGGAATTCGACCACTCAAAGATGCTCCTGACACAGACAAGCCAGTCAGATTACGAGGACTTATGTAGATTGGACGTATTGGGGCTGGAGGACAAGCCTGAACATGATCAATATGCGGTCCATGCAGAATTTCGTGAGCAGCTAGTACGACATCAGGAAGGGTGGTACGAGACAGGTTTACTTTGGAAAGGGAGCCACCCCCCTCTACCAAATAATAAAACAGGCAGTTTACGGCGACTAACGCAACTCCATAACAAGCTACAACGGATGGAAATGACGGAGAAGTATGCAGAGGTGATCAATCAACAAAAGTCAGAGGGGATAGTGGAGTCTGCAACCGAACCACCAACCGGGAAAGAATTTTACATACCCCACAAACCTGTTATGAGAACACAAGCTGAATCAACCAAACTACGCGTTGTTTACGATGCTTCAGCTCGAGAAAACACACAAGAACCAAGCCTTAATGATTGTCTTTATGCAGGACCTCCGCTTCAAAATCGGTTGTGGAACGTGTTGGTACGCATTCGTTTTCACCCAGTTGCAGTGACCGGGGACATTAAACAGGCTTTTTTACAAGTCCGTATCAGGAAAGCAGAGAGAGACTCACTCAGATTCCATTGGAAGTCCAATAAACAGTCGTTAGTCGAAACATTGAGATTCACGCGAGCGCTATTTGGTCTAGTGTGTTCGCCGTTCCTTCTCGGCGGTGTCGTCGAACGTCACCTGGAATCGTGGAAAGAACGTGAACCAGAGTTGGTCGCTGAAATCCGTAGAAGCCTTTATGTTGACGACCTACTGAGTGGTAAGCCAACCGTAGCAGAAGCAAAGGATTTGAAGGAAGGAGCTATTAAGATTTTTCAAGATGCCAAGTTCACATTACACAAATGGCATTCAAATGATCCTGAGTTGGAAAGCGAACAGTCCAGCGTGGAGACGGAGAATACCTTTGCCAAACAGCAACTTGGTGCACCAACCGATCCGGAGTCAAGTCTTCTCGGCCTGTCCTGGAACAAGGAAGCTGATGAGTTCAGTGTTGTGGCCTCGATATGAAACCGAACGTGACTAAGAGAGAACTTTTGAGCAATCTAGCAAGCATTTATGATCCCTTGGGCCTTGTAGCACCTGTGACACTCAAGGGAAAGACAATCTACCGAGAAACGTGCAAGGCAAAAACAGCATGGGATGCATCACTTCCAGAACCACAAGCAGCAGAATATGGTCGATGGGTAAGGGAACTGCCTAGACGTGTAACTGTACCGAGAGCCTTGACAACTCAGCGCGAAGCTGTAGAAGAAATTGAGCTGCACACATTCGGGGATGCAAGTGGGAAAGGAGTTTGTGCAGCCCTTTATGCAATTGTGAAACAAGGTGATGAAACCAACGTGGGTTTAGTCGCTGCCAGAGCAAGATTAGCTAAACAGGACTTGAGCATACCTCGCCTAGAACTTGTTTCCGCCCATATGGCAGCAAATCTGATGATAAATGTTCAACAAGCGCTTGATGGAATGCCTGTTACGGGAACCTACGGATGGCTAGACAGCACGGTAGCGCTGCAATGGTTAAAAGGGGGAGGAGAATATAAACAATTTGTGGCCAATCGGGTGAGAAAGATTCAAGCTTGCCCAGATATAATTTGGCGTCATGTCCCAAGTCAAGACAACCCTGCTGACCTGGGAAGTCGGGGAGGACAGGTGACTGGAAATCTACTGTGGTGGAAAGGACCTCCGTGGTTGACCAATCAGAGCGAGTGGCCAAGAGATATAGTAACGACTGCAACCAATGAAAGCGAAGCCGAAGCCAAAGCGACAAGAGCAGTGTTCAAGTTAGCTGTAGAACCAACCAACCCACCTGATGGAATCTTGACAAAGTTTTCCCTCAACAAAGCTGTAAGAGTAAACGCATGGATTTCTCGATTTGTGTATAATTGTCGAGCGAAAGCAACTAAGAAAGAGACACGGTCGGGCCGTTGACAACGCAAGAGATAAACGACCAACACAGCGCTTATGTAAAACAAGCCCAAGCAATTCTATACGACAAAGTGAGCGACGATAAGCAACGCCTGGGTGTACAAATGAATGAAGATGGTATCCTCGTGTGCAAAGGTCGTTTGCAAGGTCAATATCCCGTATTTTTACCGGACAGTCATCTTTACACCACTAAACTCGTAGAAGATGCGCATCAACGCACGTTACACGGGGGAGTCGGGCTCACTATGGCCAAGATTAGAGAGAACGTTTGGGTGCCAAGGCTAAGACAACTTGTAAAGAAGACCGTAAAGGGATGCCACGGGTGTCGACGATTTCATGCTAAGCCAGTTAGTAAACCACCTCCAGGAAACTTGCCCGTAGACCGAACAGAAGGTGATCGTCCGTTTCAGGTCGTAGGCGTCGATTTCGCCGGCCCCATCAAGTATCGCGTCACCAAAAAGACGGAAGGAAAGGCGTATATAACCCTCTACGCATGTAGTCTAACGCGAGCCCTCTACCTAGAGTTAACCACGAGCATGGAAACCGATGAATTTATCCCTACCCTCAAGCGACTCATCGCGAGGAAAGGCAGACCGGAAAAGATTTATTCCGACAACGCGAAGACCTTCGTTGCGGCAGCCAAGTGGTTGAAGAAGGCACAACAAGATGAAAAATTCAATCATTTCCTGGCCAACGAAAAAATAAAATGGCAGTTCAATCTAAGTCGGGCCCCCTGGTGGGGGGGGGGGCAATTCGAACGTATGGTCGGCTTGGTCAAGTCCGCGTTGTACAAGTCTATTGGGAATGGCTTCTTAACCAAGAAAGAACTCGAAGATGTCCTTCTAGACATTGAAACAACATTGAACAACAGACCTCTAGGGTACCAAGAAGATGATATCCAAATGCCAACATTGACACCGAACAGTTTGCAGTTTGTTGGATCGACCCACCTTCCGGAACCCGAACATTACCACGAAGCCGATCCTGACCTACGTAAACGCGCGAAATACCTAAAGAAATGTAAAGATCACATGTGGAACAGGTGGACGAAAGAGTACCTACGAGCCTTACGAGAACGACATAATTTAAAACATGATACGAAGCCATTCAGCCTAGCTGTGGGTGATGTCGTCATAATTTATTCTGAAGAGCGCAATAGAGGAAAGTGGCCGCTCGGAATGGTTCAGGAACTTTACCCAGGAAGAGACGGGGTCGTTCGAGCAGCGAAAATAAAGACGGGAAACGGTCATTTAGAGAGAGCAGTCAATCTACTCTACCCACTTGAACTGTCGTGTGACATAAGACCATCAACCGGTAGTGAAAACCTCAATCCAGAAGCTGCAGTATTTCGACCAACCCGCGAGGCAGCGGTCACCGCAAGGTTACGCATCCAAGAGCAAGCGAACGATGATGAAATTTGAACAAGAAATTGAACATAGTATATCCTTTTGAGACGTTAAAGTTTATATCTAATAGATGACATTTAGTAGACCTTACATTAGTAACATTGAGATTATTTAAGTTTCCTTTCAGTACATATACCTTCAAAAAGCTATATGGGGGGAGAGTGTCGGAAACTATATTTAGCTTTTTTATTATCGCGTGGGACATGCGAGTATACTCGCGGACAGTCGGACAGCTCCGGAAGATACCGTTGAGAATGTTTACATAGCGAGGGATTCGGGAAAGAACACAGCGAAGCATAAGATTTTTGTCAATAAAACTATAGAAATACCCAGTGTTTGTAATTTTAATTTATGTTGGGAATCAACGGGAGGCAATTCTCAAGAACCTACCTACCTACCTACCTACCTACCTACCTAATTGGACCCTTGGGACGCTTGGATTTGACTAATCTCTCATACACGAAAACGGCGCTCTATAGCCAAAATGATGCACTTTGCGGAAGCGTGTATATTCAGTAATTTTGACATATATAAAATAATGGTTATAATAAAATTAAGAAACTAAATTACTAAAATTTAGAAGGTAATATTTGGTAACTGTCCACAGCTCAAGAAATAACCCCTCGGCCCCTCCAAATTCTGTTATTTCAGGTTCCGAACCCAACTCTGACAAATGTGCGCTCAAGTAATAATGGATGGCTCTTCAATAATTTAGTATGTACGACTGTACGTCGATTGGTCCTGCTGATCACGTGGCGCATGACTAATCATATACAGTCCCAACGATCCATGCAACCGAAATGTTCTTGGTCCGTATTGTTCTGCATGTCTTGTAGCACTATCTTGGTACCATACACTCTTTGTTGCCCGTCACAGCGAAGCCAACTTGGGTGCTTGTTGAACAAAACGAAGTTCAGTCTTTATTTAAACGAAAATTGAATGTGTATTTAATCTGATCGGTCAACATGAACAATAAAATTGATCAATCAGTTAGTGTTTTTCTTCTGCCAAAGTTGATTGCCGACCGTTATACCGTACTTACTCGTTTAAACGCCTTATTTGACGGCGCCGCTTGTTCGAGGGCGGCGCTCTTTATAATATATTTTATTTTTAAGTGATGACAAGAAATATTATACATGTAGCAACAAAATATAACATAAAAACACTGAATGGAGAAAAAGAGTTCCGAGGTTTGTTAAAGATTACAATCTCGTACCCGGGGCGCTTTCATTCCGCGGTTGGGCGTCACGAAGACTGAATAAGTGCGTCGGTTATATAAGGGCGGTACTCTTTACTAATTTTGGCGCTTACATGTAAACGAGTTTGCTCTCATATGCGACGTTCAATCGGGGGCGGCGCTCAAACGAGTAAATCGGTAATCCACACTGCGGGTTATTACTAGTCTGATAATATGGCATAAAGGTAACCAAGTGAGTGCTAACAGGCATAAACCTGCTTAGGCTGAGCAAGTCTATTATGTTACTTCCTAACTGTAACAATCGCCATTGTGATTGAGAGATGATTTTAATAAAATACCACGCGTTTCATCGGCCAATTCTTTGTACAACCCAATCTTTCTGGCACAAAGGACAACGGTTGTTTTGAACGACCCAAAGTGACATACAGCAGTTATGAAATGAATGATTGCATTCTCCCCAAACAACTAATAAGAAAAACAGTTGTTCATTGATGCAGAAAAAAATATATACGGACTCAGGGAAGAATAAGCACTTGGAAGAATGGGATACACGTACTTAGCAAAATTTTATACCTTTGACCAGTATTCAGTAAGTTAGTGTAAAAAACAAATAATTCAACTTTCTCGTGCTAGGAACAGTACTAAAGACTAGAGTAATCAATCAGAATTGCATACAATACGACAGTGACATGTGGTTATAACCAAATGACTGTTCTATTTTTTAATGAAGCGCTTTTCCAGACATTTTTGGCTTGAAAAGTTCAGGGAAAAACAATACTTGCAACTTAATGCAAGTAGTATTTTACACCGCACTGTTTTAAATCAGACTGGTTGCAGTTCGCAACACATCATATGCTATTCACTGATTACTTGTCTTGCGTTTATTATAGATAAAAGTCAAAGTTTGCTGAAACTGTACGCTATATTTTGGGAATAACAATACCAATGCCAAAACTATGGTGAATATCTGGCCCTCTCTGAATAGTATCAAGTAACTTTATAATAAAGCCATGACCCTGCAAGCGGCAATTGAATGAATTATTAATACTAGGAAGAAACTTGACATTGACCTACCAACACATTCTTCTTGTTTACTGTTTGCTTGACAACGAAGACATGCGTCTAAAACACAAACATTCTCATTGAAAAATAGCTATTCATTCAAATACAGCAGGAATAATCCACTAGCTAGATTGGGACTTTTTTCGACATATAGGCCTTACTGCTCCCTGGTGAAAAAACCCTGCGTACAGCCCAGCTAGATCTAGGCCAAGCTTTGAGTCAAACAGAAGTTAGTTGATTCCCTTAGGGATTTCAGTGTGGTTAATAATCCCAACACATATCCCAACAATCCCAACAAGGGTATCAAGGAAAGCAGGAGACCCATTCAGTCCGGTAGTTAACATTTCACTTGCACAATTTCATTTGCTCCAAATATAAAGGTGCTGGAGATTGACACTGTTAGGTAGCGTCTGTTGTCCATAGTGGACGTTTGTGTGTCTGTCAGATGGTAGAAAGTACAATAAATGCCCATTATTTTTCCATGCCTGTAGAAAAGCCGAAAAGATAAAATTTGTGTATATCAGCTTTCATACATGCCAAGTTGGTGTAAAAACACCCTTGTGCCATGCCAAGTATTTGGGCTAGCAATTTAAGCATCACAGCAAACTTTCCAACCACTTGTTGAATCATAAACTTGAAAATGTTTTTCTAGTAATCTTGTCTGGGTCAATAAAAATGTTATTTTCTAAAGTTTTGAAATGAACAGACATGCAGAAATACACAAATTTTAGTTTCAGTATATTTATACTTCAAAACCTGATGCAGAATGCCAATGAATGATTTTATTGTAAATTGTATCAATTTAACAATTTTCCCGTCAAGTTGATGACTCTGTTTTCAGATGTGATCATGGCTACTCGTTCTAATCACAAATGTTCTGTGGGGCCTCCAGAGAAAACCTAACAAGCTAGAAATGTCGTAATTGTTTTATTTTATTCATTTAATGTTAGGGGTCACATCCATATTCATGTTGCCACAAATAATGTTGAATCGATGTTATGAGTGGGTGGGTCGGTTTTTATGTGAACTTATCAACATTATCTTGTGGCAATTTGACAATAATATCCCAAGTAACTATCACAGTACAGACTTTGTATCATGAATATGAAAGTCAAAATAATATGATAATCGATCAACGTTATCTGGAGTGGGTGAAGAAATAACATCTTACGTCGATTCAACATTATTTGTGGCAACCTGACTATGGACGTGGCCCCTTAGTGAACAATGGCATTGAATGTTTTTTCGATTGCCCTTAAGGGCCACGTCCATATTCATGTTGCCACGCATAATGTCGAATCGACGTTATGGGTGGGTGGGTGGGTTTTTACGTCACCTCCTTGACGTTATTTCATGGAAGTTTGAATATTTACATCCGAACAGACCAAAGTTTAATATTTAATGTTTGCTTTGCAACTTTTGCCAGTATTATATTATTTTCAACTAATAGAGGTCAAAACAAAGGTCGAAGTATTGAACCGACTTTTTTTTTGTGTCAAATACTGGTCAATTTGTGTTCGCAAATTGCGACATTTTTCTGCGATAAGACTTCTCATATTTTATACACAAGAGCCTACATTAATTGGCGCAAACGAAGGATTATACCGTATTTCAGTTGCCATTTTGATTTTGAGCTCTTTTAGCGGTCAAAATACGACAGGGTAACGATCGACGTTATCTGAGGTGGGTACTGGTGATAACGTCGATTCAACGTTATGCATGGCAACATGAATATGGACATGGCCTCTAACTGTTCTGAAGTTTAATATTGCTTTTTTATTAAGAAATTCATCAGTCTCTTTTTATATTTTAATATGAAAATAAAAACACGAATCTGAAAATGAAATCACGAATCTGAAAATGAAATGTTACTTGTCTATCGTTTTCCTCCCAGATGTCATATGACTCATCACTTGACACTCGTATATATATATTAGGGACGTCCAACAAATAGATTTAGTCGCATCACATGAACCAGGCCTTGATTGTTTTGAACCCCCCCCCCCCCACCTCATCGCGGGCAAGTAAAAACCCCAAAGAGAATCGAAATTATGGTCCAAAATTTTATCCGAAATATGACTGTGAGCGGTCTACTATAGGCAAGAATACAGTATGTAATGCTGACTTTTAACATTACAATCAGCTTGTAATAAATAAAAACTAGTTTCCGTATTGTTTAGCAGTTGTAAGCAACATAAAATTTAAATAAATACCCGATTTGTTGTCCACAAATGCAATATTTATATCCCCGATTGAACGAAAGAAAGGTTGTGTCGAACTGCGAACTTAGTCAGAAAAGTCAACACAAAATATTCGGCCGCGATCAGTTATTCCAGCGGCAACACATATCAAATCGGAATTAACCGTAATGGGTTCGGGCATAGGTTATGTACTTCGAAATGTAAATATCAAACGAAGTATTGTTGTTGAGCTGTGTCCGCTTTTTGCCTCCGAACTTTTTGTGAGTATATTATTTAAAATGTACTACATTTTCTTCTGATCTTCGTATTATATTTCTAAAGTCAGTTTTCGTCCCAAATATTTTGTAATCGCGGATTCTAATCTACCCCCTCCCCCCCATCGCGGCCCAAGTCCGCGATGCGGGACGAAATCTATTTGTCGACGGTCCCTTA